CTAGTAGCGTCCTTGTTACTAGTAGTAAGGCACTTGTTCCTAGTAGCTTCTTGTTACTAGTAGCGTCCTTGTTACTACTAGTAAGGCACTTGTTACTAGAAGCGATGCCAGGAGCCTCTAGTAGCGTCCTTGCTCCTAGTAGCGATGCCCTTTGCTCCTAATAGCAAAGGAACCTATTAGCGATGGCCTCCAAGGCTAAAGGTTAAAGATTTAAAGAACGTGCCTTACTAGTAGTAACAAAAAGCTATTATTTACTAGTAAAACAACTCGGGTGCAACAAAGCAACTCGCTGGGGCTGGATGGAGCTGATGGTGCAGCTATCAGGCCTCCTGGGAGTCTCTATATATAGAGAAAGAGACGTACTAGTAGCTTCTTGTTCCTAGTAGCGATGCCAGGAGCCCCTAGTAGCGTCCATGCTCCTAGTAGTAACGCCAGGAGCCCTAGTAGCTCCTTGTTCCTAGTAGAAATGTCCTTGTTACTAGTAGCTTCTCGCTACTCCTTGCAATGGCCTCCAACCTACTTGCGATGGCCTCCACTAGTATAGAGAGAACTTCAGGAAGCCGTTAAAAAATGTTTTAAAAAAAAGACTTGAGGAACCTAATAGCGATGGCCTCCGACCTATAAGAGATATATATATATATATGCGCAGCTACAAAGAAAACATGAATCTGTCTCGAAAAAAGACATCGCCAATTATTGAAACCCGTGCGGTGTCGTTCAACAGATCATGGAAGCATATAGTAACATCATGGAAGGATCTAGAGGGAAGAAGCTACTAGAAGCTCCTGGCATCGCTACTAGGAGCAATTGCCTTACTACTAGGAGCGAGGACACTACTAGTTCAACAAATCTAGAGGGAGATCGCTTCCACCTCCTAGGACCTTCTAGACCATCTTGCTTCGCCAATTGTTCCCCTCTCGCAGTCCTGAATGCAATGTCATCCTTCGGATAGCACACAAGCCTTGCTTCCAAACCTCCTGTGTCCTTAGGCAAGGCGATTTGTCGAAAGGTATTTGGTGAGAGGAGATGGTCTTGGTTCTTGGCGTGTTGTGCTCGGGGCTCTTCTAATAGCTTCTTGTCTAGTAGCGATGCACTTGTCTATTGCTGTGTATTGTCGTGGTTTTCTTTGGCAAAGGCAACAATGGCAGCATGAAAAGCGGCTAGGCTCATCAGTGACTCACTCAGCAAACCCATCGACGCCAACCTCGAGGCGGTGCCTTTCTTGTGAACGTCGATTCCGGTTTTCTGGATGCAGGATAGCCTAGCTCAAAGTGATGACTTCAAGAGGCCCGCAGGCCACACCGTGAGGGGAAGTTCTGTCACAGCTTTTGCCGAAAGTCACTAGCATTGTCTGTCACATTCTCGTCAGTGGCATTGGCAAATCCAGACTCATTCTCCTTTGGACCCTCCTCTTGCTCTACGGTCCTGCAACACGAAAACAGAATCCCCAATACAAAAACAGTTTCGTGGTGTTTCATTTTGGCGCCTGGTGACCACAGCAAACCAAATCAAAAATGGCACACCCCAGCGCATTTGCTCATGGCGGGGTGAGGCGAAAGCAGGGTGAGGCTCTGTACTTCAGTGCCAAGAACCGCTGGATACACGGGAATGGGGGCCGGATGCGCTCGTGTTGCCATTGCTTCGTTCTGAAACTCTGTTTCTAATTGAATTCTTGTTACTAGTAGTAAGGCACTTGTTACTAGAAGCGATGCACTTGTTACTAATAGCTTCTTGTTGATCCAAAAAACAGCTGCGAGCAGATGGATCAGCTGAGTCTGTACAACATGCGCTCTGCATGTGCAGGTTGAAGGCCATTGCTATTAGGTTGAAGGCCATTGGTATTAGATTGGAAGCCATTGCCATTGGGTTGGAAGCCATCGCTACTAGGTTGGAGGAAATCGCTATTAGGTTGGAAGGCCACTGCTATCAGCCGTACTAGGTTGGAGGCCACCGCTAATAGGTTGGAAGCCATCGCTATTAGTTTGAAGGCCATGGCTATACTTGTGCTAAATTGGAAGTGTTCGATCAGAGTCTTTCCACCCTAGTAGCGATGATGGCCTCCACCCTACTAGCGATGGCCTCCAATAGGAATGGCCTCCTGCGATGGCCTCCAACCTAATAGCGAATTCTTCAAGTCGTCAGGCTAACATGTGTCAAAACAAAGCTTGATTTTCCAACCCAATTTGCTCCAACATGAAAGCGACAACAGCAACAACAGCGTTCAAAGTTCAAAGCAAAAAGGCGAGCCTGACGCAAAGCCAAGCAGCACTATTCCGTCAACACACAATGACATTGAGGGCCCACAGGTCAGAAGTAAGGGGATCTCATCTTGTCCGTTTGGCATGCACATGCGCAGCATGCTTGTCCATTTGGGAGGCTACATTGTTGGCAGCAGCCTTGGTTGTGGTGATGGAGGCCATCGCTAGCAGGTTGGAGGTCCTCGCTATGAATAACTCAAAATGGTTTTGCGCCAATTGTTTGTAACGCGTTTGTTTGCACCTATTGCTGTTAGGTGATCCTGGCCTCGTTTGTTCATATGATGAAAGCCTAAGGACCTCGTGACACTCGTAGCCCCTGTCAGCTCCTACAGCCGATGTCCACACAAGCACCTCTTGTGATACTCCAAGTTGCTCAGGTGTCCCATCATACCGAGGTACCCCTTCGCTTCCTTTTTTCCTCACTCATCACACCCTCACTTCAAATCTGACGTGCACCTAGTTGCGTCCTTGCTCCAAGTAGCGAGGCCCTTATTGCTCCTATTAGCGTTCTTGTTACTAGCAGTAAGGCCAGGAGCCCCTAGTAGCGTCCTTGTTAGTGCAACCAGGCAAGCCGCTACCATGAAAGTTGATTCATGTTCTCCAACCCTAGGGGCGGTCTTGGTTCTAGAATGTCGTAGAAACGTGTACCGGCATGGTGCGTTTTGCACATGACAAACAGGTATATACAAATGATGAAACTCTCATATGTGTATATATATATATACTTTTTATTTATGTGCATATAAACATGTTGACGTCATTGTGTTTGCAATCCATGTCAGCCGATTGATGTGGGCAAAGTATCTAAAATCTTCACCCAAGAGACTGAAATCCGGTACGTTAAGAATTTAAGGCACGCGCTTTCCACAAAAATGATCTTTAAAAATATAACTTGCAGTACTATAGACACTGGTACAGACAATCTTCTGTGATAAATTCAAGTTCAATTCAGTAGATCACATTTTTTGCTCTTCGTGCTTCCTTTGTTCCGTCCTTTTGACAGATAGCCCCGAAATCTCTTCATGTTCCATACTCACCATCTGCATTTTCCCGACCTCAGTGTGAGCTGACGACCTCTGCACACGACCATGGTGCGACTTCCTGGCTCTCCGCACCATCACTGGCACCTCTAAAATCTCCATTCCCAAAGCCTTGCCAAGTCGGAAGCAGCCAACTACCCTAGGAGTCAACAACCAAAGTTATCCTTTCATTCTTTCTTAGGTTGGAGGCCATTGCTATTAGTTTTCTCATTGCTGGTATGAACTGAATGCAATCACAAATTGGTATGCCTGTGGCATTCCCTGGTTCTGCGTTGCTGAAGCCTGGCGCTGGCCTTCAACAGCGCCACTGTTCCATGCACAAAAATATGCTTGTCAAACAGTTGCGAAGTCCCTTGGCACCAAGAAAGAAGAAATATCACCTAGCAAGAAGCTACTAGGGGCTCCTGGCATCGCTACTAGGAGCAAGGTTCGCTACTAGTAACAAAGGGCATCGCTACGAACGGAGCGATCGGACTGCCCTAGTAGATTCCTTTGCTACTAATTTTAATTCTAATTTAATTCTTGTTACTAGTAGTAAGGCCCTTGCTCCTAGTAGTAAGGCCAGGAGCCCCTATTAGCTTCTTGCAGTGATTGCTTTTCACCTCCTCGCCGGTGAGCGTGATCCCCTGCTGCTTCCACGGCTGGCAAAACGCTGTCTCCTTGGCGGCGACGGTGACCTCAGTCTCTCCGCCAGAGTCTCAGCGTCCTTTGCTCCGTTCGTAGCGATGCCCTTTGCTCCTGGTAGCGAACCTTGTTCCTAGTAGCGATGCCAGGAGCCCCTAGTAGCGGCCTTGCTCCTAGTAGTTAGGTCAGGAGCCCCCCTGTCTTTCCTCCATCTCGCTATCGAACTGCATGTAGGACAGCACAAGCTACATGTCACAGAGAGCAACGTAGCATCTTGCTTTGGATTGCTGAGGCCAACACCTGTCATCCGGACTGTCAAACAATTGCCTGCGTCGCTCTGCAGACATGATGCTCCTCAATCACAGTGAGGATTGAGGACAGCTGCAAGGCAAGCTAACCGCGGCCAACCCTAGCTAGTAGTAACAAGAAGCTATTAGAAACAAGTGCATCGCTTCTAGTAACAAGTGCCTTACTAGTAGTATATAACCATGTTTGCTTACTTTGCCGACGGCGTTTGCTAACCCTATGATTCTCCCAACTTTCTAAGCTGTCCTTGATCCGTCGCCACCACTTTTCCCACCACCTTTGCCACCTGTGGCATTGGAGGGACGGCGTACTCTTGTAGTTGGATACAATGCTAGGACGTCCTTGAGACAACAGAGTGGCATGATGGGTAGATCAATTTGCAAACCCGGTTTGATTCCTCACATGGCTGGAGACTGGATGGATAAGGGGCACGGTTCTTCAGCCTTGCATACCTAGCCCAATTCAACTAAATAGCGATGACCTCCAACCTAATAGTGATGGCCTCCAACCTAATAGGAATGGCCTCCTAGCCCCATTCAACTTCAAACCTATTCTTCTACATGAAGAAACAGTAAATGACATCCGTCGGCGCACCTTTGTCACCCTTGGCAAAGCTGGCACCGCCTCCGCCACCTCCGCCTCCACTTCCTCCTTGCACCTGTCGTATGAAATATCGATGGCCCTGGAATGCAAGCAGCGCTAAGCAGAAAATGCGGTCAAACCCGACGGCCCTGAAACTGCGGCCTGGACGTTCTTGGCGCAATTCTTTCCCTGAATGGGTGTACCATTATCTTTGCCAAACTGATCGACAATGGCACACAAGCCAACATAACCTACTAGCAATGGCCCTAACAGCAACTTCACATCACAGTCCTTACGGTCGTCGAACTCAATGTCAAAGCTGACACGGTCTCCCACTTGAAGTGTAAATTCGCCTCCTCGCTGGTAGCTGCCTCGAGCGAACAAAGGCTCCCGCTAGATCCGGGCCAGGGCACATCCAGGAGCCGTACGAGGAAGGGACGAGAAGTGCATAAACCTCAAACGGATAACAAGCGAATACGTCCCCCACCCGACATGGGGGTAGCTATATAGATGGACAAACGTAACTCTGAAGGAACACGTCGTGATGAACGTGTCATGCAGTTTGCTGTATGCGCACTGAGCAAGGACGCTACTAGGAACCAAGGGCATCGCTAGTAGTAACAAGTGCCTTACTAGTAGGAACAAGAAGCTACTAGGAACAAGTGCATAGCTAGTAGTAACAAGTGC